AATATCAAAAAATTGTTTTAGGGTTTCACGTCCCTTTATGTTCAAATGAAATCAAAATTTTCAATTATTCATCAGTGTGTGTTACTCCAATGAAAGATTGCTTGTTTTTATAATATTTTTCATCATAATGTACTGTAAGATCTTGATGGTCATCAATTCTTTTCCAACTCTTCTGATAGAAAACACGTTTTCACAACCCAATCAGTTTCTGATGGATAATCAAGCCCTGGCCAGTTTTTGATTGAATATTCGGTTATTGACTCAATAACTCAATGGTTTACAAAAGTAATTGGGTTGTGAATGTATTTCATATTAAATGTCACATGGAGTCAGGAAGAAGTGTAAAGAATGAAATGAATTCAAAAATGATGGTGAAATTGAATCATGATCAGCCAAGCAAATGTTGCCAAACTCATGAATAGTCTAGCAAACGTTTGCCAAATGCATTTGATGTGCTATGAAAGGACATCAGGTTTTTTGATACCAAGCTACTAAATGGCCAAAGTACACCTCCTAGCTCACATGAAATGCCACTTTTATAGCTTTTTGGGTTGTATTAAGTGGATACATTGAGCTGACCAGTGACAGTTTGGTCCTTTTTACTAATCAACCCATAAAACCCAAAGAGCACTCCATAAAATGAGACATTTTCTTATCTCCAGGCTGAATGGCTTCCTTCTGGAGTAATTTAAAGCTTTGGCCATTATGGAAAAGGTCCCAAGTTTTAAAACTCCTCCTCCTCCCCTCACCCTATGCTGGCCCAGCAAACTCTGCACTACCTACACAGAGGACACAAGCCAAGCATGACTCCATAATGATGGTTTAAAGACTCCAACGCTCATTAAGACGCTATGCTTGATGAGCAGAAGGGACCCTCTAGCCGTTAAACGATTAATAGACCGACTACCGTCAGGATAGCCATTATCAGTGGCAAAGATGTCTTTGCGCAGCATGAGGTTGGACTGATGGGTCAGAACGAATGAAATGGGTGTCAAGTGGCACCAATTAAACATCACTTTTCCATACTTTTAATAGAATTCTCTATGACATTTGTAGTGTATCTGGGAAAATGATCATTATCGTAACCATTTCATTGGTTGGTCATGTATAAACAGAACATAATTCCAAATGAATGTCATTATAAATTTCACATTCAAATAGGAGGATCTAAAATAATTGTTGGTCTAATAGTTTCAATAAACTTTTTTTCTTTCAACACAACAATTTTGGAAGTAAATTTTACAATATGCTCAGTTCTCAGACACCACAATCACATTTACTTAATGGATTTATCATAAATAGCTGCCATTTTCACCCACAAAGTTCACCCAAAAATGAAAATTCTGTCATCATTTATCCACCCACATGTTGTTTTAACCTGGTATGAATTTCTTTCTTCTGTGGAACACAAAATAAGATATTTTGAACTTTTCAAATGTTTACAATGCAAGTAAATATAGCTATATAGCCAAAAAAGGAGTCATTTTTAAAAGTCTTTTAACTTCCGTGGGCATAGACCCCCATCTTTGCAATGGTTTTTCTTTCCCTGTACTAGAGACACATTGTTGCTTGTGTTGTTTAAGGAAATGTCTGATACCTTCTGATTTATGACTTCATACACCTGGCTTTAGAACAAATGGCTGTACTCTGGCTAGCTGGAAGGACTTTGCTTATTTCGCTTCCAGAAGCAAAAAAAAAAAAAGCTTATTTATGGGTGGTGTGATCAGCTGTAATGGACAGCAGTAAACCAACAGGTCCATTTTCATTTGCCCAAATCTTTTCCAGCTGGAACAGCCAACAAAGAGCCATTCTAATCTTATAAGAAGTCAAGCCACATTAGGAAATAAAGGCCTTAATGGACTGGGCTTCAGACCCTTTCTTTTAACGAGAACAATATTGAGGTTTTTGACATAGCCATAAATGAAATGCAATGTTCTATTGCCATGTAATGAGAGAATGGAGAGGGCAGCGAGTAGAGATGATCGAGATTAATGGTCTCCATTGACCTGACTTCCATTGATTTGAGATCATCTTAATTAGGTCAGGTATGCCTCGAGGGGATTAAAACCTCTCAACTTTTGTAAAATTTACAATGATACAAATTTCAACTGCAAAAAATTATGAGATCCTAATTGTGATAATGTGTTGTGAACACACAACAAACAAAGCATGTTTGGTACCATTTAAAAAAAAAAAAAAACACAAACACAATAAAAGATATTTAACAGGGATGATGCTTTGTGGACAAGAGAGGATCAGAGACAGATTACCTTCTATAAACTCAAGATCACTTAAAGGCAGGGTAGGTGATTTGTTCCAGAAATATTTTTTTTGTTATTGTGGTTGAAAATGTCTTCACATCCTGATAGCAATCACTAAGTTAAGTGGTCTAAATTGATTTTTATGTATATATATATATATATATATATCGTCTGTGAAAGGCGTAGGACCATAGCATTCGGTCCAAATGCAATGGTACGATGTCCTACCTGCCTTTCAACATAGGTATTTTCATACCTCCACGCACCCTGCTCACACAGACATCACACGTCATCAGTTTCATGCTATGCAGAGTTAGACAGATGTCAGGCACTGAGCACCGCAACCAAAACAGCAGTCAGCTTTTACAGTTCCTCCTGAACCAAAACAACAAGCTTATGCTGAGGTCACGCTATTTCTACTGTAATTTGGAAGAGATGGAAACCTGTGATGCTATTTTTGGAGTGGTACGTGACTCGAAATTATGCGTTTCAATGGCAACACTATCAACGGCGAAATTAATTTGCGGTACAGGTCAGTGCTCTTTAAGTTGTTTATGCTCATTATTATTGTAATGTTATGTGCTTTGAGACATGAGGCACTGTAGTTTAATGCTGTCTCTCTTCTTGTGACACTTTGCAAACTCTGCTGTACGCGTTCATGTGTTTTGAAGGAGGCGTGGCTTTGGAGACGCTCTGAGGGGAGCTTTCAAATCTAACTTGCGGTATCAGGGCCGAGACAATGGAATGAGCTGCCGTTGCCTATCAGGTCTGCAAAATCGCTATCGATTTTGAAGCATTTGTGTAAATCACATCTGATGTCGTTAGCTTATAATGAGTAGATGTGATATTTTATATGTGATGTATTGACTGGTTGAGGTATGTTGTTATTTTTATCCTTTATTGGAATTTGTATGTAAAGCACTTTGGTTCAACCTGGGTTGTGTTTTAACAGTGCTATATAAATAAAACAAACACAAACACACAAACACAAACTTGCTACTGCTAGCTACTCTGAAAATTGCCAACCCTTCCTTTAAGATATCGGTTTTCATTGCTTCAGTGAAAAATAAGGAACTTCGTCATTAGTAATTCTGCTAAATAGCCCTTTAGTATTGACAAATACTTTTTCAATGTTTATCTTTCCTTGATTGTTTTACTGGCTAATATGAAATTTGAGCTATTCGCTGTACAGTACAATGATTCAGATAATACAATGCTTTTGTATTTTCTTACCTATAATAATAACAACCCAAATTATGCAAACTGCTTTATATGTCAGTGTTCTACATTAACTAGTTCACTGTACACCGACAAATCACGATTAGTCTTAGGATTCTGAGCTCAGAGGCTGTAGTTATTGCATCAGAGTAAACTAGTTTATTTGAGAAATTCTGACAAAGACTTCTATATTGATTTTGACATGAATTCAAATATATTCTTCAAACATGCAGCATCAGTATAGCACAACATATCTATAGTTATGGACTTCACATTTCATGGTTCTCAAAATGCACTCTTCAGATAACAGAAAATAAATAAGCTTCTGACTACAGCACACACTTCATCAAATCAAGATTCCAATACTGCATTCACACAGTAAAGAATCCATTCTTACTATTTTAAAACATACACTACCGTTCAAAAGTTTGAGGTCAGAACGATTTTTTTAATGACATAAAAATGCTTTTATTCAGCAAGGATGCAATAAATTGACCAAAAGTGACAGAATTCTGTTTTTTTTTTACTTTCTATTTATCAAATAATCCTAAAAAAAGTATCATGGTTTCTACAAAAATATTAAGCATCACAACTGTTTTCTACCTTTGATAATAAGAAGAAATTATGCTTGAGCGCCAAATCAGCATAACAGAATGATTTCTGAAGGATCATGTGACCCTGAAGATTAATGGCTGCTGAAAATTCAGCTTTGCCATCACAGGAATAAATAACATTTTAAAATATATGAAATTAGAAAACAGTTTTTTATATATATTGAAACGATATTTTTTTTTAAAATTAATCAAATAAATGCAGCCTTGGAGACCATAATACTTTCAAAAACAATTTAAAAATCCAACCGACCTAAACTCTTGAACGCTCAGCTGATTTTAGTCCTTTACAATGACATGAAACAATGAGTGTTAGCTTAATTCACTGTATATTACAACTCCTGCATGGCAGCAACATTCTACACAAATATTCGTATTCACAGACTGCGCATGATTCCAGTTACTAATGTTCTTTCTCATCAATACTGAGAATATACAATAAAGTGGCATGAAAATGTCTCTGCCAGAGGTATACCCTGAAAATGAAAATTAATGTGCATTATATTTTGACTCACTGCAAGGGAGAAGTCTTGTTTTATGTTTCTCACATTACGGGTAACAGAAAGTCGGCCTGTTTGATTTATGATACCAGTGTTTAAAAGTCATATCAATTTGAAATCCTACTTGACTCCATTTAATGAGTGCTGCGTTCTATATCTTTGTGTGCGTGTATCAGCAACATCATTAAATGCATTCTCTCAAGCGATGCAACTGCTGACATTTCCCATAGACATAATAAACCAAAACAAAAGAGCCTGTGGATGCACAGAAGATGGAAAAGCCCTAATGCTGGTGGCTTACTGTGTCTTTTGTAAACACCAGCAAAAAGGAGCCCATTAAACAAAACTAAGGGTCTGATCACTACTGTTACAGGTAGAGAATAAATTAATAACTCAGTTTTTCCTTTTCCTTTGTTGTCAGTAATATGCAAGACCTTTATGGATCAAAAAAGCAAGCTGGATTTGGAATGGAGGGAGGCCAGGATAGTGGAGGGATCAGCTCACAAGCATACAGGCTCGGACAATAACAAGAACGCCACCAGAGTCTGATAAGGAGCATTGAACCGGCACGGCTAAGGGTCAGCGAGCCATCGGTGGGGGTGAAAAAAAAAGTCCCTGGCTCAGTCTTTTGGACTCATTCCAGGCAAAGTGAAGATGGAGCAATGTCAACACAGACATGAGCACAGCAACAATGACAGAGAAGCTCCGAAGACGGTCACCGTATGGACAGGCTGCGCATGGGGACGTCCACGTCCGGTTGGAGGGGGCTTGCAACACTGATCTGCAATGAGATGGAGGGGAGAGGGAGTGGGAAGGAAGAGGGAAAGACATACAGTAGGTGTGTGGAGCCAGCAAAGGACGCAGGATGGTTACACACACGAGAGAATGAAAAGCAGTTTATTCACAACGTCAGAGTGTTGGGTTAGTAAAAAAGATGATTATAAGAGTGGAAATGAGATTATTTTGGTGCAGGTCAGGAAATAAACATGGGTGAATGTGACAAAAATGTTGACATATGAGCGAGGAGTGAGTGAGCAGTCCAAACCAGTGTCCATTGTAAAGGTTTGTTTGATTGAAAGGATCGCGGGGTGTTTATAGGCACACAGAAAAGCAAGTTTAGTGGCAGTAAACAAAACAAAAAGCCCAGCGATTTGCGGTGTGGCCCAGAATGCGTTGCATAATTCATTAGGTGGGAATTGGAGAACAGGATTGTTTAGAGTGAAACAACGAGACGAAGCACAATAGAATTATAAATAAGAGCATGGGCCAGCGGGGATGAAGGGGTGCAGGTGGAGAAGGAGAGAAAAAGGAAAGGATGAGAAGGAGTTGGGAGAGAATATACAAATCACATCGAATTAACAAGGTAAATCCAAGCTGCTGAGGAGCAGTGCTGTCAACACACACACACTCATATTGAGTTTTTTATTTTCAGAGACACCTATGCATGCACTGACACGGCATCTAGGAATATTTCACATATAATTGGACAAATTTAAATATCACCTGTCAGTATCATAGAATTCTATCTATCTATCTATCTATCTATCTATCTATCTATCTATCTATCTATCTATCTATCTATCTATCTATCTATCTATCTATCTATCTATCTATCTATCTATCTATCTATCTATCTATCTATCTATCTATCTATCTATCTATTATGGTGGTAATGTGAGGACATGTCCCCACAACTTTATGAAATAGCTTGCAGCTGCAATTTTGTATGTCAGTTGCGTCCCCTAATATAAATCCACTCACGTACACCTGCAATTTTGCTTGGTTCATTTAAACAAACATTGTTATTAGAGCAGGTATGAGCCTGAGACCTGACGCACTCAAAGCAAAACACTTACATCGACACCATTATGTACTGCATTTATCCTCTATTCCAAATTTCTATCAAACTAAAAGACAAATTTCCAGGATTGACAGTGGGAGGTAGTTCAAAATTAAACAATCCACAACACACGGTATAAAGAATCTTTATAGAGAACTTGAAATTTAATCATTTAAATAGTTGTTTAATTGATTTTGTGCAGTTTATTTCATGATCATATTGTGATTCATAAATAATTTTTACCAATAAATAGAAAAGCACTTGCAAATTTCCAAGATAAATCTAGAATTTCTATTTAGCAAAAAAATAAAATAAATCTTGGTATTTCTGCATAACACAGCTAAAGCGTATCAGCGCAGTAAGTAAATTGTATGTGCCTTTGTTAGGTGAATATTAATATGTATCTCTTGAAAGCCATGTTTATATCATATATCATATGTGATATGCTGATGGTATGATATAGAGAGATAAATGTAAAAAACACCATTATCATTAAACCATATAAATCCTTGGCCTGAGAGAAATGGTCTTTTCTATGTATTTCAAAAACAATTCTACTACTGTGTGTAAAAAAAAACGTGTTTTTCTGTTTACAATAGATTAAGTGGCTATAATTTGAGTGTTATTTTAAACCAGAGGAAAGTTCTAGTATGAGATTCAGGAATCTCTTCCTGACATTCCTTCCACACAAACACATAGGTATTGAGAGTAGACAGGCAATAAACAGACCTCTTTAAAATGTGTTTGCCCTTACATTGCTTTTCACTTAAAAAAAACATTATAAAGGTATTATTGTATTACTGATGGGGAACATAAACCACTTCTGTGGATTTGGCTGGTTGAACTATCAGTTTTACTATATGTGCATCCAGCAAATTACCCTTCATGCTTACACCATTCAGACACCCATTGGCTACCATAGAGCTTTTGATTGATTCTTGAATTTTTCTGATTTCATTGTAACCCCAGATTTGTTGTAACCCAGTAAATATTAAAAACCTTCTTATAAAAGCATGACTTCAAAAAAAAGAGCATCACCGCAAACTGTACATGGTCAGTCAGCCAAACAGTGATATTGGGTCACTAAAAGATGGACAGTTAGGGCCCGTTCACACCAAGGATGATAACTATTAACAATAATGATAAAAATGTAGTTCTAAAAATCCTTCTTAATGACACACCACAACTATATAACGATAACGGCACAGAGGAAGAATATCGTTATAATGAACGATGAAAACATTGACAGCAATCAGGATCCATTCTGCTTTAAAGAGCTTGAGAATTTAAGGTGGCAGATGACAAAACTGCAGCTCTCGCATTCGCATAGAATAAACAGAACGATATTGTGTGTTGGTGTGGATATAGTTATTGCTATAGTTATATAGTGATCGTTCTTGGTGTGAATGGGCATTTAGACATATTTGATCATATTCGTTTCATTTTTGTAGCGATAATATCTTTCTCATCTCTTTTTTCCTAAGGAGAAAGTGTTTTCTCTGACAATTTGCTCCTGATTAGGACACAGAATCAGTTACACGTTTAATTTGTGATTCTGATATAAATGAGCTCCATCAAGCGTGGGTGGCTGGCAAGTGTGCTGAACTGTAGCGGAGCATATAATTATAATAGGAGACATATAATTTCAGCTATGGGTATTGTGAGTGGGTGACGAAGTGCTGTAGGTAATCGGACTCAATTTGTCGTATGAAAAAGAGTAATACTTTGCATGTGTTGTGGAAGTACTTGTACCTGTGATATCAGGTTTCTGAGGCATGGAGAACTTCACAAAGGTGGGTTCAGACAGGCCTTTGACGTTGCGGGCGGTGATTTCCACCTCATACTGCGTATTCCACTGGAGCGGTTGCAGCAGCACAAAATCATTCACACCTGGAACCAGTTTTGTCATCCACTGTTCTTCCTTGTCCTACACAAAACCACAAGTGTTTCATAAAACATGCACAAGCATACAGGTACAGTATGAGCATATGACTTTACAATTGGCTTTAGGGCACATAAGACTTGTTCGAACAATTAGTTCTCACTGTCAGAGGTGTAAAGTCCAGGTTCAGAAAGTAAAAGTCCTCCTCAGTATTTTATTCCAATCACCTGGATTTGCTAATTAGCACAGTTTTTCAGCCGGGAGATAGAACTAATTAGTGAAATCAGCTGGCTGAGTTCATGGGTGGAATAAACATATGGCAGGAGTTTTACTTTCTTACACCTCTGCTCACTGTATTTTGACACATGTACATATGACAACTTATCGGGTTATTGAATGTGAGTGGCGGGCGCTCACAGGTGTGTGAATATTGGCTATTTTTACAATGGTTTTAAACATCTGCGTAAAAAACGTTGCACACATATGTGTGTACGCACGATTAGTGAATGAGACCCGTTGTTTTATTTGTAACAATGGCAAAATTAAAAATTATATTGTGCTCCTCAAAAGGGGCGAAATGGAACAGATCACACTTATATTCAAATAGCTTCAACAACATATTTTTAATTATCTATTAATTAGATAATTTGTCATTTAATTTGTCACATTTGTCATATTTAGGCATATTTGTCAATTGATTGGTTGCAAACATAAATACAATTTGGTAATTTATTTATACAATGTGAATTAATTTTTTTTAACATAAATAGTACTTCATCGATTTTCTCTGATGGATGGAAATCAAAACATAAGATTATATATTAAGAGGCCATCTGATCCTTCATCCTCTGAGCAACAGATAAGAAAGAGATGCTTTTCTCTAATCCTCAAACTTTTTCACACACTTACAGCAGAAACACTCCAACGCATCCATTATTCTCTTTGTGTCCCTGCCTGCAGAGCATCTGAGCACGAGTGTGAGCATAATATAATGTGTGTGTGTGCGTGTGTGCCGGCTGTTCCGCCAGCTAAAATTTTGAAACTAGGCCCACATACTGCCTTCAAAAACTCACTGCTTTTATATTTTGACATTTTCAAAATGCCTCAGCTCTTTAAAGGCTAAATGGTTGAATGTGCCTTTCACATGTCGACAGTCCTTAGGCATACTGTAACATCTCCATTTCCCCTGTTCTCACCTCCACATGCACAGGCGATCAGAGACCGAGCAAATGTGAGAGAGGGAGAGCGAAAGAAATAAAAAAAAAGGAAAAAGGGAAGAGTACAAATAAAAAAGAAGGAAAAGATGCCAGCGGACCCTATTACGGTAGAGGAGGAAGTGAGGCATCACCAAACAGACTGAGACAGAGAGATGAAGCAAATGAGGAAATGTTGAGGCCCATGAGGGGAAAAACAAACAGAGGGATTGTAGGAGAGAGAGCAAGCGAGCTGTGGTGAATGTGTGTACATACTAGTGTGGTAACACTCAATAACCTTTCACAACCTGTAGACAAACTTTAATTGATTGTGAGACAGTGGTGACATTGTAACCCCATGACGCAAAGTTCCACAAGGCCTTTTAGAATGCTGACATCCTCACGGGCACAGCTCTTGCTCCATGTGAGATCTACTCAGAGTCTTGTTGTTGAAGGGTCTAATTTTATGCTACTAACAAATATTGACTGCAATAGTCATGTGACTGCATTTCTGTCGGCCAACCCGGAAGTTAGCATCAACCTGGAAAAACCCTACTGGATTTTTCCATTGGCTTTTGGATTACTGCTGAAAATAAGGTCTGTGTCTAACAAAAGCTTGTGATTCTTACAAGTTTTGTTCATTGTGATAATCTTCACAAATGAACATAACGTTTGTGGATTTTGACGCGTAAATACAATCGGCAGACGTCAAAAGCTAAATGTAGGCTTTGAACAAAATACACCACAGTCCCATGACTTCAACCTCACTCACCATCACTAAGCTTCTGAGTTCTGACAACTCTTTCAGTCTTTGTTTAAAAACATTTTCCCTAAGAGTTTGAGTATTAATAGTTTGCAGGAGCATGATTAAAAACACAGCGAGGCTGTGAATGCGGACTAGTGAGTAGATGAGTTTACCTGTTCAGCATGATGATGTTTAATGACAACCTCTGTAGTCCCATTTAGCCACTTGTAAGCAACAACCTTTTACAAGACAAGTAAAAGCTTTAAACAAATACACAAGAGGGTTTTACGGATGTATTTTATATATCTTGAGCTCGTGTTCACCACAGACCTTATTTCAAGCATTTAACCAAAAACCAATTCAAAAAAAGTATTGACTTTAGGACGATGGAACCGGAAGTGCCGAAATGTGAACTCGTTTCCAGGTTTTGGCCTCCAAAAATACATCATTGGTGTACTCACCAATGGTGAGTAGTAGGGGAGCTGTGTGGAGTTTCAACAATATTTGTATGTGAAACTTACGCATCTGATTTGAGCTTCGGGTGCGTTGAAAAATGTAAACTTTTGTGGCTAAATTATATATGACCGCCCGACCAGATATGATGTATTCTAAACAAAACAATAAGCGTGAGGCGAGAACACTATTTCTGTAAAATGAGTGGGTACAGATAATTATATTTTGTGAGTACAGATATAATTTTTTTATGTGTATATATATTCACATATTCATTCCTTTTCCCCCTGATGAATAAGCGGATGTTAATAGCTGCTTCACCACCAAATTAAAAGTTCCATGCGACTGCCACTAGGGGGCGAAATTCAGAAATTGTTGTGAATGTCAGAGGAAAAAAGACGGCTTAAAGGAGTGCCAAAATGTTAAGTGCTAAAACACTGGGCTGCAAATAAGCATAATAAAAGTGTTCTTACGTGCACAGAGAAGTTTACTTTTGAAAGAAATATAGCTTACAGAATTTAACCTAGATCGAGCTATAGTACACATCAATGGACATTTTTGTTGTTCCAAATTAAGTAAGAGTAATTGTAGGGTCACACTTATTCAATTTAAAATAAAAATCAATGGTAACTCTTTACTTCGATAGCCCACTTTAGACATTCTACTAACTCTAAGTAACTTTACAACATCATTAGAGTAGACTTTCTTAATATCTGTTAACACTTTATTGTGATGATTCCCCAACAGACATTCTACTGATTGTCTGACTGTCAACTAATTCTACTAATCCTAACCCTAACCTAATATAGTCTACTAATGGCGGTATTGCTCAACAATCTTCTGTATTTTGTAAACAGTTTGCACTGCTTCCGGTTCAGGTCTTTTGTATGTGCTTCATTAAATATAAAGCCATTTGCACACGGTACCTTTAATGGAGTGAGCAAAGACGAGCATAACCGATGTCTATCATATATGCAGATTGATATTTAAAAGTTTTTATTCTTCTCATGAACATTAAGATATTTAAATTGAATAAAACTTCAACAAAATAACCAGCTTGGTTAGCTGATTTCCTTAAAAGTCCATAGATATCGCCGTCAGTTCGTACTGCTGTTAACATTTTCTCTGACAAGAGGATGCAATGAGATCTGTTTTCCTGTCTCTTCATGTGACGTTCGGCATAAAGCCTATACTCGGATAAGAGTTAGTTGACATGTAGTTGCAAATTAATGAGAGTTAGTTGACATGTAGCTGCAAAGTTTATTATAGTTTATACAATGTTTAAAGTGGACTATCGAAATAAACTGTAACCAAATAAATGTATAAAAAAGAGGATATTTTACTCTTTAAGGAGTCCAATGGAACAGATTGCATTTTTTTTAGCTATGTAAATGAGAATATACCTTAGATTTCTATTGATTTCACATAAAGCTAATAATAAATACAATAGACTACCCTCAACCCAAATCATAAACATAACCCTAAAAGAAAACATTTTATATTTTTGGAATAATAATAAAAAAAACATTGTGGGCTTTATTTCCCCATTGAGAATATCTCTGAATGTCCCCAGCACATTGCTTTTCTATCACGGTGGGGACTTTCCTTTGACTTATATTGTTTTTATATTCATAGGCCGTATATTCTCATGGGAAGTACTGGCTTTTCCCCACAGTGTATGTGATTTCAGTTCATTCATCAACAATGTATGCAAAACCTGATCCACCCAAACCCTTCTATCGCACGCACACCCGTTCTACAGAAATCGGCAATGCAGTTACACCTAACGTACAATAGTTACTGGGAAGAAAAGCCCTAAAAACAACAGAATATCTTGTGCAAGAATTAGTTAAGAATGTTTTTATGCACGCTGTAGATCGTGCTGGTGCATAAACAAGGGGCATGGGCTCAAACAAAGAAATGCATTTTCACTGCTCATTACCGAAACCATCGCCCACTCGTCTCCATGTGTTTACTAGAATAACACCCTCTGCATTTCAGCTCAATATCAGACGCTACACTTACAAAAAAAACAAAGCACAGGATTCATTTTAGTGCTGGTTTCTACAGCTAGTTAATGACGAAACTAACAATCCCTCCAATTAAGTCATAATAAAAAAAAATTATGGTAACACTTAAATTTACAGTCCGATTCTCACTATTAACTAGTTGCTTACTAGCATGCATATTACTAGGATATTGATCCATCCACCCACCCACCATCCATCCATCCATCCATCCATATTAATATACTACAACAACAGTAAAATCCTCCAACAAAAACCTTTCACATTATAATTAATAAATGAGTAAATAATTAAAAAACTTCCATATAAAGTGGTTGTACCCAGGGGTTAAATTGGGATTTATTATGTGGGGGGTGCTCTCCCTAGGGGGGTCCGGGGACATGCCCCCCCCCCCCCCCCCCCCCCCCCCCCCCCGGGAATAAAAAAAAAAAAAAAAAACATTAAATACCACTTTCTGGAGAGTTTTGTGCAAAGAAATGGAGAAATTGAGTATTACATGATATGTGAAAAACTGCAAGGTTAAGAGCATTTACTTTGCAACAGGTATTAGGACATTTAGCATTTACATTACTGTTAATCAGTCATCACTTGATTACACGTTGTATTACCTTGTTATGATATAGTGACCCATACAATGTGCCAAACATAATGTGCCACATGGAGAGACAGTGCAGCATATGACAGTAGCAACAGCTAAGAAGATTTGGGTCTGTGGTGACCAGGTCCACCTCATACAAACTTCCTTCTCCCATTCTCTCTCTTTACTACGACAACACACACACACACACACACACACACACACACACACACACACACACACACACACATAAAAAGGCAAAGTTTTGATTTCTGGCTCCAGTGGTTGCCTCATTACACAACCCACGTAAAGTTGATAATTCCGCGAATAACTGCAATTGCAAATACAAATATGCTGACTGAATAGATTGCTAGTTTATTTTAAGTAGCCAGCTAACGTTAAATTAGCAGTTCTCTTGGCAGTTTGCTGATAATCCGGTATCTGAAGTAAAATGCTCAAAACATCTCCTGAGAAAAATCACATGGTCAACCTAGTCCTGGTTATTTAATTTTGATTTAGTCTTATTTTCCTTACCTTGTCATTTAAGGCCAGGGCACTTTTTTGACATTTCTGGAACATCCACATCCCGCGCAACCACGGTCTCCCAGGAACATTCATTATTGCTGTGTACATTTATCCGTGTCAGATGCGCATGCGCGAGCGATGCGCGAGCGGTGCGCGATCATGGTCGACTGACAACGAGATTAAGCAGCTGAACAAAAATACGGCCGTGTTCCGATTGTTCTCATCTCAGCTCCGCCGAGACAAAATAGACATGCCATTTCAAAAATCTTTCATTTATTGTCAGAAATATGTTTTCAAAAGCATCACTTTCATCAAATTGTATGTGACATAATTTCCAGTAGGCAACTGACTGCAAACGAGCAGGCTTATGTGCCGGGGCTAAGCCCCGGAGAGCCCCGGCCCAATTTAACCACTGGTTGTACCTCTGTATTCTGCATCATCAAGAGCAAAGTTACATAAACTGAATAAACATTGATACAGCGCTACAGCAACGTTTCCCTTGCGAGACTGGTTCATTGTGTCTCACTTACTGTTTTGTATTTGACAATGTATTCCAGAATGGGCATTCCTCCATCATCCTGCTTGACCAGACCCAGTCGGTACGCCTTCCCCACCCCTCGTTGACCCTGAACCGAAGGGGGACTTGGCTCTCCTGAATAACGAAAAAAGAAAACAATGTGTGAATGACCCACATTCATATTCATAACTGGTTGTCTATTAATTCAATGGTTGGCAGCAACATACTACTACAATAGAGTAAAGGCTGAAGGTTGTTTTCCAAACGCAGTTTAAGGGTCAAAGCAGAGGGCACTCACGTATGGGCAGAGTTTGAAAGCTCTCTGTGCGGCTGAACTCCCCTTGACCTTTTCCATTCATCGCCGCTACTCTCACCTCATATGTAGTGTTGGGCTCAAGGTTAGTGAGCAACACGATTGCTGTGGGAGAGAAAACAGAGTACATGGTTTTAAATTGCTTTCTCTAGTCGTGCTCTTGGCATTCAAGCCTTTTCAGGATTATGTATATTAGCTCAGAGTCCTTGAAGTAGCCTAACTTGCTTATCTGATTGTCTAATGTGCTCTTAAAGTTTCTGCAGACCCATTTGAGTGTTGTCGGTAGAGAAAAAAATCCATTTAAGCATTGTAAGTTCAGGTTGGATTGGAGTTGTATCTCCCACACCTATTTTGACCCTAGTTTGGGCAATTCTGTGTGCCAATCTGATAAAATTCAACATTAAGCTATAATAAAAGCCAATTTGAGTGCTATATTCCTGTCGAAGCTCTGAAATGAACTGCAAATTCTGATAGAATAGTAAATGTCACTGCTGTCATTAGTACCATTTGATTTGAGAGCTACACTTTTCAGTGAATAACTGCTTAAATTTGGTCACACATAACTATCCATATGACTTCAGAACACTTGGAATGCAGTATGGTCTTTTTTGATTCCTTTATGGTGCTTTTTTTGGGTCATTTTGGAGTTTGATAGCCCAAATGCCCTTTCACTTTTATTAAATTTAAGATAGTTGACAGGATACTCTTCAATAATTAATCTTTGTGTACAGTGTTTCCCATACATTGATTTATTTGTGGCGGCCTGCCACAATATCAACATTGACCGCCACAATGAAAGGTCTTTAATGTGGTGTTTTGCGCCATTGCTGTCGAACAAACTAAAATTGAAAGCTTGATAAGGCTTTGTGTCCTTATCAAATTGCAAAAGACTGTTTGTTTGCACTGTGCAAAGAGAAGTACGCACATGATCAGCTTCATGTCTCAATTCACAGTGAATGAATGCAGTGAACTCCATTTAGACGGTGGGCCGAACGCGTTTTTCGTGTTGTTGATCGATCTCCATCGATAGAGTATATGCTTTTTTCATGTGCGATATTAAGTCATTATATGTAGTCAAATAAAATTTGTTGGCAATTCTGGTTTGATCATATATTTTCACAAACGTATGTTTTGATTGTCAATCTTCTTAGGCAAATCGCGGGACAGCTCTGGTAGCTGCGCCAATCGGATTGTAGTTTTTAACGTAATTAAAAATACTAACCAATCGCAGACGGCCAGACTAGGACCCCGAAATGGGCGGGCGTGACATAGCGGCAATGTTATATTGTAGTAGGCCTATATTTATATATCTACCACAAATAAGACACTTTATCTTGGATATGGAGTGTTATGTGCATGTTACTAGCTGTACATCAACACTAACACCTTTTCACTAACAAGTTGGATCAAGTTTGTACAATGTTCTTTAGAGTGGGTGAATTTAAATACAAAAGAAAGCCAAATCGCCCAAAAAGCTGTGGAAAAATAAGAAATCACAGAAGGCCACATTCCAGATGTGCCAATTCATGTTGGCTACCATAGAAAATTATACATGCAGTATGCTAACAAAAGAAATATTGAGAGAGCCAGCAAGAGGAAAGAAAAGACAGTACAGGAAGTTGAAGGGTTGTAAGGCAGCTTTATTGTGGTTAAGTGTAGTTGTTTGACCTCATACGTTTGGATAAATCATGGTATAAATGCTTAGGATCCTTTTTAACCCCAAACATAAATTATTGATATTTACATCTCAGAAATAGTGAAAAAACAAACAGATATAATTATATAATGTAATAACATATATATTAAGTTAATTATTATATATTAAGTCTTATAAAAGTTAAATATCTATTATCTTAGCATGACTACCTTTATAACTAAATGACAATTCAACTATTTGGTCAAGCAGGTTTTAGTAGTATATGGCAGTAATATATATAATGGTAGAACATTTAACATATTAACAACAATAAATAGATCTCTCCGAAACTATGCGCACAAAAAATAAACCCTGCCCATGTAAACCCTGCCAGGCCAGACCATGGATCTATTAAGAGAAAGGCTTCTATAGACACAGCGACATATTGTCCATACTAGACATCTAGTGGACACATTTTTCAACATATAGCGACTGAAATGTGCTCCATCAATCAGATGAGCAAAACAGTAAAAGGGGTTTTATGATGAACCCTCAAAAACAAAGGGCATTTTCATTGTTTCAGCAGAATAGATGTGTCAGGGCTTAGTCCGATCAGGTCAAGAAGATGTCTCGCAGGGCTGAGGATCTGGGATTACCTGGGGAAACAGATTAGCAGAGTTGTAAACGGTGTAGTAAAATTATTGGTTCACGGTCTAATAAATGAGGATTTACATTTATGAGGCACTTTTAAAAAAGAATTTAAAAAAAAAGTGTAAGATGAGCCCAGATTAAAATGCATACACTAATCGCACTTTGGGCCCTATTTTAACGATCTGAAACCCAAGTGTCAAAGCGCAAAGCGCAAGCAACTTTGTGGGCGGATCCCGGCGCTGTTGCTATTTAACCGGCGGGATAAATGACTCTTGCGCCTGGCGCAAATCTAAAAGGGGTTGGTCTGAAATAGCTTCATTATTCATAGGTGTGGTTTGGGCGTAACGGGAGCAAACCAATAAGAGCGTCATATCACATTCCCTTTAAGAGCATGATGAACGAGGTGCGCTTGTTCCATGGCGCAAAACTATTATAACGGCGCATTTACTAGGCGCGCTTCAGGATCGGTTCTCAGCCGAGGAGATCGATGTTCTCGTCAGGGCCGTAAAAGAAAGAGAAGTGACATTGGGGACGGGACAAACCCACCCAAATTAGCTTCGGTTAAACATGCATATAATAATCGGGGTAAATGTGTAAGCTTATATGCCTATTTTTCAAATTGTCATGGACACAACAATGATTTTCCTCGTGTTTTAATATTTTTCCTTATAATAATATATCATTTGCAAAAAGTAAAATGCATCTGTGTAGATGAGAGAATCATCTACAGTGTATGCGCGTTGTTCAGACTCTGTATTATGGTCAAGCATGCACGCTTAAAATAGCATCTGAATGTACGCGCAACGCGCCACTGACTTTAGACTAGGTTTTTTCTGGTCAGTGGCGCAATTGTTTTCTGGAACTGCAAAATAGCATGAGGGAAAGTTTGCGCCGGAACACGCCTCCTCTTTGCGCTGAACCGCCCCAGGGAGCGCAAGTGTATTTCTTAGTTAACCGACGTGTGTCTGTGGAGGGAAAAGTCTGCTTTGCGCGGGTGCAAAATAGGAATGATACATGTGTCAGTGTACAAAGTCATTTGCGCCGGGTGCAAGATAGAGCCCCTTGTGTCAATTTGAATAATAAAAGCATACCATTAGGGCTCGGCAGTAAATTGAAGTGGTTATCCAACTTGGTATCAGCTTGTAGTTGCTGAAACTGAAAATAAGGTTGACATTTTTAGAAAATGTATGTCATGACTCATGAGTAATTAAAACACTAAACAAAAGGGGGGGGAAAGCTTTATTTATAGCAAACAATTATATGTCGTTTGTTTTATTTGACAATTTAAAGAATTTGAATCTCAAGTGTTATCTGCTAACAAGTTGGAAGCATGACTACTACAATCCCTGCAGTCATCACATTTTTCTGTTTTTCCCTTATCTTTTCTAGACAGAGATTAAAGTGGAAAAGATAACATTTATCATATAAGTTTATATCTACTAGCTACATCACCTAATAGCTAGTCATGGAAGAGATAACATGTAACGTTATTAGCTAGCTACATACGATTACATCAACTACACACAACCTAACGTTACCTAACGTTACCTAAACCTAACGTTTATTTTAAATATTTGGCATGTTTGTGCATGTCCCTGTGTGTGTAATAATAAGCAGAGTGTGTGTTTAATAAGCAGCGTGTGTAATAAGCAGTGTGTGTGTAATAAGCATAGTGTAATAAGTAGAGTGTGTGTGTAATAAGCAGTGTGTGTGTAATAAGCATAGTGTAATAAGCAGTGTGTGTGTAATAAGCAGAGTGTGTGTGTAATTAGCATAGTGTAATAAGCAGAGTGTGTGTAATAAGCAGAGTGTGTGTGTAATAAGCAGTGTGTGTGTGTAATTAGCAGAGTGTAATAAGCAGAGTGTGTAATAAGCAGAGTCTTTGATTAGAGAGATTACTCTGTCTAGTAATCCTCGTCTTTCATATCCTAATTTATGGCGCTACTGTACAGCCTGATAGAATAACTCTGTTTACGTTTTCTTCTCTGTGATCTGTATGTCATTTCTAACTAGTGTAACGTTAACGTTACCTGTAAATACAAACATTATCCGGAATAACCTATTATGTTAACGGTTTACAGAGTTCATGCACTAAGCTAACGTTATAAGACAGGTATAAACAGCAGTATTTACCTGAGCCATTACACCTGGAATCTTGGATGCCGCTGTTAATATTTCTCGTCTTCGGATAGGATTCCTGCTGGAAAATGTTTGATTGTGTAGATTTCATTAGAGAAGATTTTATGGTGTGAACTCATGGATCTAGCTAGCTAGAGAACGCATGTGCTACGCTACAGTCGTGGTAATGGTACTATCTTTTGAACGAATACTATTGGCAGACGTTAGTCACGTGACGATAGAATTCGTTTTTGATTGGTTAGATGTACTCTAACAAGTACTAGTACTCCCTCGCGTGTGCCTCATCCGTTTATTAAACGTAAATTTAGTTTTCCAAAAATATGATCGACTTGACACTGCCAACAAACGGATACGTGTTCATAAATAAATTATTTAGTTTATGTGAAAAAAGCAGCTACTCTATCCTCGAGGATCTATCATTTCAAAAACTAAAGCAGATAGCAGCGTTCGGCCCACCGTCTAATTCGCGCATGCTGAGTTTAGCGTGCATTAAGGAACATAGTGGGCACCAACAGTTACACATTATTTTCACATTTGCATAGTTGACGATTACAGCATTTCATTAGATTTGTGACGAGATTTCCACCAAAATAAAAGCTAGATTGAAGTTTCCGTCAAAATAAAAGTTCACGGGTTTACATCTTTCATGTATAGAAATAGGACAAAACTAATTATGAAAGTTTCATTTATTTTTTAGTGCATTTGTTTTACATTATATAGCTATTACTGTCATAGGAATAATATTATAACATTATTATTATTATTATTATTATGTAGTGTAATGTAGACCGAGACACTATATCACAACTAAAAAGAGGGCTGAGTCTCGTTTAAAGTTCAGGTACAAGTCAATGCACTGACTTTTTCTTTGTTCAATTTGCACACTGAATATAGGTGGGAGATCTTAATTTTGAACTCTCAAAGTGCACCAGACTGATGAATTTAACTTTAAAATGTAAAAAATTTTCTTACGGGGGCATGTCCCTGGACCCCCCCAGACTAGAAGGACAGAGGTCCAGCCACCACATTTTCACAAAACCCTGTGGGAAACACTAGTGTACTATGGAAGAAAGAAAGTCATACAGTATATTTAATTTTTGGGTGAAATATTTTTTAATGTTTTAATAAAAATAAGAAATCAATATTTAGTAATCAATTGCTTTAAATATGTGAACAACATTGGGATTTTGAGCGATAGATTAATTTACTCCTGGAAATACAGTACCGTTCAAAATCTTAGGGTCAGTAAGGTATTTTAAATTGTTTCATCTATAATTTTATGGTTCAACAGTGGCATTGATAAAACACAACAGCGAACAACCATTGCACTTACTCTGCGTCCCCTGTGATTTCACATCCTTCCAGTCCTGTGAGCTGATGTCTTTGTATTTGACCAGGTAGTAACTGATGGGTACACCACCATGGGAGTCAGGCTTGGTGAAGGTAACTGTGGCCACGCGCTGTGCCACCGAGCTCAGCCGAACAGAGTAAGGGTTTGAGGGAACATCTGTGACAGAGAAATTATGGGTCAGGGAAAGAGAGACTAACAAACGACTCCATTTAAGTGCCGAGGCCACAGTTTCTGAGAGTATCAAAGGAACTGGTTGTGTGTCTTTCTGTGGGGTATAGAAAACAGTTATAGAGCTGCTTTCAGGGTCTTACAATCCAAGGTCCCTCAGCAAAAGACTTTTAAGACCACAAACACACTCAGCAAGAAAGGACTGCACTGTACTCCCATCTTATGAAAAATACATGATGTCAAATGAAGGTTGAAAGTTAAGTAAATAGATTGAAAATGAAATCATATAACCTAAATAGAAGTCAGTCAGAAGATCGAAAGGTATTCTTACTGCCTAAAATCAATGGTAAAATCATGGTAACAGCGCCTCTCATGGCTTCCTGCTTTTATAAAATAATATGTTTTTGTAAAGCAATATGTTAAAAGGGTTAACATGAATGATCAATATATTTATACAGCATTTAATCAAGGTTAATGTTAGAGTAGTTAATAAAAATGTTCATGTTCATGTTAGTTCACAGTGCATAAACAATGTTAACAGACACAACTTTAGAATTTGAAAATGTATTAGTAAATGTAGAAATTAACATTAACTAAGATGTTGTAGAAGTATTATTCATTGTGAGCTCATGTTAACTAATGTAGCTAACTAATCTTAAGAAATGAAACCTTATTGTAAAATGTTACCGTTAAAAGACAACAATGTTTAATATGTGATTAAATTTAATAATAATAAAAAAAGTGATAAATAAATAGGAAACAACAAACAATTTCTGTCTCAGGATGTATCAATACAGCAGTATTTTGACTCAAGTTTAATCGGTCTACCCGTAAAGGCTTGAAAACAGCTTGAAATACAACAAAATGCTGAGTGCTCACCAAAGTTAAAGTTATCTGTAATTTAAAAAAAGAAATCCAGCTGATTGTACATGAGGGGCAACCTTAAATCCAGCCACACAATGGATTAATACACTCTTATTGGTAGCAGAAAAATATAGACAAAATAACTGATAAACGAAAGCACTAGGTGTGTGGGATACATCATATTTTATGAATGATTCCATGCAGGCTTTTTCATAACAGAGGCACCAATATTAGCTCATCGTCCTCAGGTAACACAAACCATGACGCTGCCAATCTGATACAAAAACATGTTGTACCCTGCCTAAACCTCTCATGAATGTATGTAAGCGGTACGGCATAGTTTCAGATATTTTTTGTTTTTGTTTTTTTGCCCTGCTAAGCCAGAAAACACAGACTGCTCTGAATAACAAGCATCTGTGAATTGGAGAGCCAGACCGCTGATGGAAAGAGAAATAGCGAATGAAACAGGGAGAGGGAGCAGGATGACAGAGAGAAACAAAGTAGGTGTGCATTATAGAGGATGAGGGAGAGGAAGAGCCAGTGGTACAGACTGAGACATTTGGGTGGAGCAGCATAGACGGACAGAAAATGTGCCACAGAATCCACTTCCACCTTTGTCTATCTGCTAGAACGAAGTATGAAACAGTTTACAACAAAGACAAGCACTTGCACTCATATAGATGTGTTTTCATTGTGGTAAACACTTCAAGACGCAAACAATATAACAGCAGTGGATGACAATCCGTCAGAGTGATCTGCCTTATATTCGAAAAGGCTGCTGCCATAAGCTCTTTAAAGCTTGAGTAACTCGAAACATGTTTTTGCTGGCTGTTTGAAAGCTAAAGCGTGTTTACTTCCAGCGTGGCCACGGCGTTCAGCCTGATACAAAAGTCATTATTATCTGCTGAGGAGCTCTGTGAGGAGATTACATGTACATGGACAGGCTTAGACAACAGTGAAACTGGTTGGGACTTTTAATGTGCCTAAAATCCATTCAAGCCTTAAAGGTGAAGTGTGTAATTTCTGCGGCACCAAGCAGAATTGAAATAATCACAGTTTCCTGAACTCCTCACACCCCATTTGCCATTATTCCACCAAACAGATAATCCTGTTCCAAACGCATGCTGTTGGTTGAGACGAAAATGTACATTTTAGACCCAAGGGGGTCATGGTTTGACTGGTTCGCATGTAAACTATACAATATGGACTCAAAAAGCCTGTTTGACGGCCATTTAAATGTAGTCATGTAATGTAGTCAATTAATTTTTTTTACAAACAACATTTAAAACCCTCATCCATCGCTTGGGTCATTTTGACCAGGAAAATATTTTTGAAAAAATGTAGTGTTCATCGGAGGGGTTCAAGACCCCAGGACTTTTGTCGCACTTCAACCATGAATACACAAAACATTTTTAATGGATTCAAGGATTTTTGTGGTTGAAATTTAAAACAGTAACAAATCCTTCCCTTGCGGGTCAATTTGAGTGGAGTGAATGGAATGCGAGGAATGCTTCAGTACACCTAGAAAAACCTAAAAATGCTCAAAATATCATGTTATATTATTTTTTTCCACAAGAGGTCGGAAATGACACCCAATGTAAGATATTTTGAGCTGAAATAAAAGGTTTATGCATGAAATTGTGAAGGATGTGAGGAATGTGCTTAAAATGACTAAATTACTATTTATTTATTTATTGATCAAATCTAGTAATTTAAAGGTAAATAAAATAAAAAGGGTTAAATCACAAATATTTGTATTAAATTATATAAGATGTTTTGCCTTGACCCTCGCAGGGAGTTTGATTGACAGGCGATCTGACCAATCATAATCCACCATCCGCCGAATCCGCCATTTTTGTCCGACAAAGCAGTCAGAAGAGTTAGTAGATTAACGTTGGAGGATTTGAACTTCAAAACGGAGTGTCCTGACGTCTTTCCAAGGTTAAAACAACACTCCTTCTTATGTTCATTCATGTTTATTTGATGCTATAAATTAACTAGAAGGAAGAGATGATCGGTTCACAAGCAGCTTTAACTGAGGCTCTACAGCGATCTGTCAGACACATTAAAGAGCCACAAAACGGTATTTATTGATTACATTTCTTTGAAAAATGACCAAATTTGAAAGTTGAGACTTTGTTTCATATCAAAAGTAACCTGGTCTGTCCTGTCTGTCAGCGCGTTTCTCTCGTCACAGCATTCATAATTCAATGTGGTAACGGTCCTCTGAAATCTAATCCTGTATGAGTGACATATATGTTGTTGTCTCTTCATGTTTAACTGGGATTAAAATAAAGTATTTCAACATTGAAAATAACAAACCATTACTATTGTCATGCAGCTAATATACTGACAGACACGGTAATCAGGTGGATTATTTGAAATTGTTCTAAACACTCACCTGCCTGAGCTAGGATGAACTCCTGGAAGCGCATCCCAATGTTGTTCCTGGCTGTGCAGTTGTAACGGCCAAAATCTCTGTCTGACATTGGGGTAACCTGAGGACAATGCGTTAGTGAGATCATACATACATTTATCTTGTTTCACATTCTTGTCATTGTATACTTCTAATGACAAGATGTTGTTTTGCTATTCTTGTATTCATTTGACAGTTATGCTGCTCAGTAAACATAACGGCTGAGGACACATCTGTTTCCAGTGAAGTGAAGTATTGTTGAGTCTTGTCAGAATTCAGAGTTGTCTAGTTCAGATGAGGTCACAAAAGAAAGACAAATCTGCTTGTATCACTATAATAAAATTCACTGCAGACAATAATTTTCTAGCTTGCTACACCTGTAGCCCTGCATGTTTTAGCTAAATATTTTCCAGGTTTTACATTATAATCTAGCCTACGTACGATAATTTTCATATTTGTACGATCATTTTGACCTCTGTACGATCAATAATGAAAAAAATCCCATAATGTACGATAATTTCAGAATTTTGTGTCACTTCAAATGATGGTCGTTGTGATCCTATGTCTACCGTCATGATTGTGAGGAGAACGTGAATGTGGTGTTACACTTGTCTTCCATCTCATCTCATATTACGTCTTCTCGGCCAATCATCGTGGAGAATAACTCTCACAAGCACAAGTTAACGTTCCTGCGCTTAAGTCAGTTGTTTCCAAACTGAGGTTGATAGTTTAGTAAAAAAGTCATTTGCAGGCCGTGTCAAAAAGTTGTTGGTCTAGATAAATAGCTGTATTCTGTACGTTTGACTCGTGTACAATCATTTTCTTCCAAATATGATAATTTTGAACTTCTGGTACGGTAGGACATTTGCCAATCTGGCAACACTGATCTAGAGGCAATCCAACACAGCACCAAAATTGTTTATCATGCAAAAAACTTACATTAAAATATATTCATATTATCATAAACTACATGATCAGTAGCAAGTAATACACTGTATAAAATGGTTTTGTAACACAACAGATATTTTTATTCATTTATATTTTTTTGATAAAATTTTTTATTATTTAATTGTATCTTTTCTCAGTATTTCTGATAATTAATTTTTAGCTTTCTAAACAAACCTGATGGCAGCATTAATAGCTAAATTAAAAAAAAGCAAAAAATAAGTTAAGTAAATGTAACTTAAAAAAAATACTAACGTTTTAATTAAAAATTTTAGGAATTCAAATGTAATAAATATGAATTAAAATGTACTAACTACTTGTTTGCATTATGACATTCCAGCAATGGGCTAAGGCCCGGATGTCATTAGTGTCTAACTCCTTTGGCCTTCCTCTCTTATCAAACACAAAGATCCAATAGGAGTGAGAATAACCGACAGCAGTGGGTGGGTTACCTCTAGAAGCGATTTGCCGGGGACACTGTGCACTCGCATATTTCCAGCACCCTCACTGGGGATGGTCAGCTTTTCCCGTCTCCACAGCATTGTGGCCGGAGGGTTAGACATAACATCACAACTGATGTTGACCGGGTTCCCTTCCCACGAGAAAAATATAGTGTGGTTGGTCTGGAACTTTGGTGCATCTGTGAAAGAACCGCAAAAGAGTACTCAGTAATGGCACGCCAAGCTCTTCTAACAGTCATCCATCAAAAACTCATTCAAGATTAGCTGCCCGAAGTCTAAATTAAATCCGAGCATGTACCAAGCAGGTATGAGCTTCCACATTCGAGTAAACCGAACACTTTATCATGGAGTTCTTTTTCACCTGGGTAAAATGGGCTCCTAATCATCCTGAATCTAAAGCATGGCCACTTCTTGCAGGTTGCCTTTAATTTTTCAAAACAACCCACATACGCTCAAACCCCATCTTCTCCCACAATGCAGTGGGTGGTGGAAGATTTCATTTGGCAGTATGAAAGAGAGACGGAATGAGGCAGAGGGTGTGAGATAGAGAGTATCGTGATATTGGGAAATGCTGCCTTATATGTGATTTCTCAGTCTTACACCCACATACACCGGCAGACACACACATAGACAGACACAGAGGAACAGCACACACACAAATCACACCCATTTTTTCTATTAAAGAGATTGATGCAGCCCACAGTGTCACATCGGTGACAGATTGAGACTGAATGAATGAGTATATTAGCAACCCAGCTAGATGGTCCATTCCAGTGCACCCCATAATGAGATATATATCTACCCTGCTGCTGGTTCTAAGGATACAGTAGGATACATAATACAGATTTGTAATATGAATTTTAGGAAGTGAAATGAAATGTTGATGTAAATGAAGCTTTTTCATTATACATTTCATTTTTCAGTACAAATATGTTATCATACACACAACATAATGGGTATTTCCAGAATAAATAAATACAATTATTATTAAATTAAAAATAGCGAATAGGTATAATTAGTTTAATTTAATAATTAAATTATTTATTTAAATCCTCTTCATGCCACTCCCATTCAAATACCAATTCAGTTTACTGAAAGCTGTGACAAATTCAATTCAAATTCCAGCTCATAAATTTTTCTCCACCCTGCATTGAACATTTAGACCACTCACACTCAATATCCAGGAACATGCTCTTCTGATGTCCACCGATTCTGCTGAGAGCCTCACAGTCAAAGCGTCCCCAGTCAGATAGCCTGACTCCAACAATAGTCAGCATGGATTCGCCATAACGGCCTCGCACCTCCACACGCCCGTCTGGACTCTGAAACAACATCACATTCTTCAATTATTTGAAAAGTAGATAAACCCGATTATCAGAGAGACAAGGTTGTAGGATTAAGTATAGAATCATGTTATAGCAAGAAGTGGGGATTTAACAAATTAAGACATGACTCACTCACAGGTACTGATCCAAAGTAACCAGGGAGTTTTTAGGGGATTTATGAGAGGTAAGGGTGAAAAGATTGGTGCAGCTTTTAACTTAACTCAAGCGTATCATCTACTTTTACCTTACATGACCAGAAAAACATTTATCATAGTAAATGAGTACAGAACTATTTCTAACTTCCCACACACTCTTGTCCGACTTGTGAACACATATTCAAGTTAGGACTGTGTCATGTCCTGATCCCATTACTCCCTTTAAATAAAAAACATAAAGCTATTGTACAAGACACGGTTAAGAGATGTTATAAGAAAAGTGGTGTTATATAAAAATGCTTTTATAAAATATCGACAATAGTTTTATGATACAAGGCACCAATGTTCAACAAATAGAAGTTGTAATATAGTTCATTAGCATAACTGTAGGTGATATTATGCATACAGGCCCTGTGCCAAAGTGAGCTGGCAGGCTTTTAAGGCATGATAAGCATGCTACAAAAAAAAAAAAAAAAAAAAGGCTGTTCCAGGAAGCGTAATTATGCCGCCTTCAAAATCCCCTTCTTGTAGACAATTTCTAAAGCAGCATGAAATTAGCAGAAAATGCGACAAGCTAAGTGTGAAGAAAACCGATCGACCAGCCAGGGACCGGAATTGCCCGATATTCCGCATGATCGGCCCGGACCGGTGACCGGCCGGTCAGGTTCACGTCTTTCCGATTCCGATCCGTTTTGTTGCCAGCGGCACAGGCAATAACGTCAGTGAGAGTTCTCGCTCTCTTCTCTCCAACGGTGAAGTGACACACACCTGCCTCTTCTCACTCACTCGTCTCATTCTGTCCGGTTAAATAGTGCTTGTATTGCGCATTATTTGACCAATTCCCGCAGGTTTCGCGCTCACACTAAAAGCATGCGAACCATTGATAAGTGGATTGCACAAGCCTTCTCTCAAACACAAAATTATGTCAAAATGCCCGTCTTGGCGAGTATTCAGTTAAACAGTCAGTTTTGGAACGTAAATAGTTGACAGTTTAGTTTTACAGGGCAGCATCAACTTAAAGTAGCCCAATTCCACCGGAAAACCACGGACTTGGCAACACTGCTGCTGCTGAATGTCATGTTAATAAAAGCACAAAAGACAAAAAGAAAATCACTCTCTGCTCTTGACTGAATAACTTTTGAAACTAATTGTGAGCATTAATCTGTATTTAATTTTTACAATGAAGACTATCCAGTGTTATTTTAAATTTGATTACTTTAATTTCTGTAGTATTTCTTACCTGAATGTACTGTATTCCCACCTGAAAAACTTAAAGCCTTCATATCATATCTCTCTTTATTCAATTGTATTTATTTGTGCTGTTGTTTGTGTCATGATTCTGCCCTCGTGTCCCTGATTTTCTCTAGTCTTGAGGCAGGATCATGACAGAATCATGTTTTGTGTGCAAGCACATGGTCTTGTGTTTTGGCCATGTGCTTGTGTTGTCTCGTTATGTAACTCCGCCCCCTTATTACCCTCGTCTTGTCATTATTGTCTAGTCAGTTTCACCTGTCCTTGTCTAGTCTGCTTCACCTGTCTTTGTCATTAGTGTTCCCCTATTTCATCCCCTTGTGTTTGCTGTCCTGTGCCGGTTCATTGTGTCACACTTTGTGAGAGTCTACCTGTGAGTACCTTGTCTTTGAAGAACGTCTTGATCTTGTATTTGCTGTTTAATAGTCTAGTGTTTGTCAAGTGTTATCTAGTTTAGTTATCCCTTGTTTGTATTGCCTCTATTTTGCCCCATCGTGGGCTTTATTTTCCCCTGTTTTTCTGTTATAATAAACGTTGTGTATTTGTCTACCGTCTGCGCTTGGGTTCTTCTGCTATCATCATAACAGTTTGAAATTTGTTTTTAGTTTTTTCTTATTTTGTTACTGTCTTTTAACTTGTTTTTTGTATATGCTGTAAATTATAGCCTATAGTTCTTTGAAAGAAAATCGGAATAGGCAGGTCACACTTACAAAAAAAATCGGAATCGGCCAAGAAAAATAGGTTGTGTTTTTTAAAATAAATTATTACTTTTATTCAGCAAGGACGCATTCATTTGATCAAAAGTGACATAAATGTTAAAAAAAAATTCTATTTGAAATAAATGCTATTCTTTAATCAATCCTGAAAAGAAAGAAACTTTTATTATGATAGTATTCTGTGCTTAGAGCAGTGCGTTGTTAGCTAAGCAACATGATAATTTTTCTTTGCAACTTTTTGGCCGCCAATCTTGGCCAGGACTCCCTGGGAGAAGAGTTACTGTAACTCAATGGGACTATTCCTGGTTAAATAAAAAAAATAATGCCAAATTCTATTAAAATGAATAGAAATGCCCCTTTGTGTCGAGACACAAACTGTATGATACATGTTGCTGATGTAAAACTTTCCAAAACGCCCAGTAATCACGTTACATTTTACTTTGACGACTTTAGAAAACCGAATCCTTTTAGAGTTTCGAACTTCTATTTTACTACAGCTTCAAAACAACACATCCACAAAGCTTTTTTGAACCACTGGCAAAATAGATTTAAATCCGTGAGAGGATATGAATGCCATATAGGTAGACCTGTACAAACATGATCTCAGACTGTTTAACCATCTTAAAAGCAAACAAGTTGAGCAGACATTACACAGACCTCTGTTTCTCAGACCACAATCGCTCTGATGTAAATCACCTCTTCAGTTTTTCCCACTGCCCTCTGAAGCGTTCACTGCATAATAAGCAGCAGTGGGATGTGTGGCAGTGTCAGTTATGATTAGTGAGAGTGAGCAGTAGTGTGGTTAACGAGAGGCAGTGCATGATGACAGTTTTGAGGCCTGTTTTCCTGTCTCAACACCCCGCTCATCATCCGAGCTGACCAAAATTGCCCTCAGTCAGTCACTAATCTCCATAGTCATGCTGACACATGGATCATAGCAGCCAGACCCATTTCCCAGACACTCTCTGCTGAAAGAAACAGGCCACACCAGCTTAACCCTCTGATTCTCTTCATTTGGGGACGACACTAGTTATCTTTGGGGTGTCCAGGGACCCCAGACAATAACATTTAATTTTGTAACAGAATAATAGTTTTTTTTTTTTTTTTTTACAAAATTAATTTTACTCTGTTTATTAATGCTTTTACTCAACATTTGTGCAGTTTTCGGAGGATTCATGATATCTTTTACATTTCTATAAATAAATATTATTTTACAAAAAAACAGATTTCTAACTTTCATTCATGGGGATAACATGGATCATTTTACATGGTTTAATTCAATAAAAAAAAAAAAAAAAAATCCCTTTAACCACTAGATAGCTATTAGAGCTCCACTATATGCTATTTGACTAACCGAAAGATATCTTTTCACAAGTTGGATTCAGTTGGATTCATATCTAAATATTATAAAATCACAATTATAACAAAAAAGTTTAGCATTTTTTGTACTGAAAAGAGATTTTCAATAATGTTACATTATGATTAGAATCAAACCTGAACAAGATGTTACAAAGAGAAATGTTGGAGTCTTTAGATTTTATCATTTATTTCAGTCATCTGTTTTTTTATATAATTCTACAATTTTAATCAACATTTCAGTTACTAACTGTAACAGAACAAAAATTAACAGAAATGAACAGTTATATAACATATTGAGTAAAAATACATGACATGAACATCAAAATGCAATGAACTGAACAGCAAGGTTCTGGTAAAGGTTCTGCTTTAGCACAGCTGACTTTACCACATCTTGGCAATCCTTGGAGGTTGGCATTATCGCGGCACCCAGGTTATGGAATGCACTTCCTCTTACTGTTAGAGATGCTCCTACATTAGCCAGTTTCAAGAAGTTGTTAAAAACATCTTTTTAAAATTGCTTACATAGACTGTTATGATTAGTATATTGTGTTGTACTGCCATGATTATTTTGTATTACTCCTGTACTTCTGTATTTTACTTGTTTTATTGTCTGTAGCGCATTGGATTTTTAGAAAAGCGCATTATAAATAAAATGTATTATTATTATTATTATCATGGCAGGATCCACCATCTCACCCCTGGCCTTTACAATGGCAATGGAGGTCATCATCCGGGCATCAAAATGGGTAGTGGGTGGGCAGCGGCTTAACTCGGGCACACGCCTTCCTCCCCTCAGAGCCTTTATGGATGGCATGACTACTCTGACCACCACTGCTCCATGTACCAGAAAACTGCTCGGAAAACTGGAAGAGAACATCAGCTGGGCTCGCATGAAGATAAAGGCTCATCTCCATTGTCAAGGGAGTGCTCTCTGACTGCAGATTCTTCATTGGAGAGGAGCCCATCCCAACAGTGTCTGACCAGCCTGTTAAGAGTCTTGGAAGGTGGTATGATGCCAGCCTGAAGGATAAAGATCAGGTACAGCAGCTGCGAAAAAAATCAGAAGTGGGCTCCACAACACTCAGCTCCCTGGAAGATTGAAGGTCTGGTGTTTACAGTTTGGCCTTCTTCTCCGAGTGCTGTGGCCCCTTACCATTTTTGAGGTCCCAATCTCAACAGTGGAGAAGTTGGAAAGAGGAATCACAGGCTGCATCAAGAAATGGCTTGGAGTGCCTCGATGCCTAACCACCATAGGCCTCTATAGAGATTGCGCCCTCAAACTGCCCCTCACCAGTCTCACAGAGGAACTCAAGTGTGCTAAAGTAAGACTCCAGATGACACTGATTGATTCCCGTGATGCAATGGTAAGTAACAATGCACCAACCTTGGTGGCAGGCCGCAAATGGAGACCAACGAGTGCGGTGGAGGAGGCAGCAGCCGCTCTCAAACTTGCGGACATAGTGGGGCATGTCCAACAGGGAAGGGGAGGCCTTGGGCTAACAACTAGGCTACCAGC